AAGTGGAGGGTCAATGAAAGAGGTGAAGGCCTTCAACAAGATGGATTGACATGATGGCTGTGACAATGGGCTCAAGTATAGCAAGAATCATGGAGCTGGTGCAGGATCGGGCAGTGTTTTGTTCTGCTGTGCATAGGGTCACTATGAGTTAGAAACGACTTGACCACACCTAACAACAACAACAACCAGTAAATGAAAAGAACTCTGGGTGCACGAGCAGTTTGTGATTCGTTGCTAATAAAGACTGGCGGTTCAAGTCCATCTAGAGGCTCCATGTTGGAAAGGACTGGGAAAGTGCTTCCATGAAACTTACAACCATATACACCAAATGGAATGACCAACACAACTAACACTAAAAAAAAGGAAGACACAGAGAGGTGCACAAGAGGTACGGACAACAAGATAAACACTTTTCCATATGCAACAATGCATTATCAGTGATAACAAACATTAATCTATGGGTAAATAGATGGGTAGAGAGGCTGAATGATCAAGTATGTTGAGGCGAAAGGGAACATACCCATGATCATATATAAGGTCGGCAGATGTTATTTCTACATATGTATTTGTATGCACTGTAAGACTGTCCATATAAATTGAACTAACAAGGGGCAAAGTTATGATAACATCTTAGCCATAGTCAACCACCCTGAGGGAGTGAGTTGTTGGACCTGTGGGCTCAGGGTCATGGTCATGGAGGATATCAAGCTCAATTGGCATCACATAATACACAAAAACATTGTTCTACATTCTACTTTGGTGAGTCCCAACTGGGGTCTTAAGAGTTTGCAAGCAGCAATCTAGATACAACAATTGGTTTCTCCTCATCCTGAACAAAGAAGAATGACAAAAACCAAAGATGCATGGAAACAATTAGTCCAAGGGACTAGTGGACTGTGCGAACTTTAGCCATGAGACCAGAAGAACTAAATGGTGCCCAGTTACCACTGTCAAACACTTGGAAAGGGATCAGTGCAGGAGATTCTGGATAGAGTGGGAAAACAATATAGAACAAAATTCAAAATCAGAAAAAAGACCTGGTGAGAGGCCCTAGACTACAGCCCCTAGTTACCCTTCATGCTTGGAATTGAACTCACTCCTGTTCCTTCCAGCCAAACAATAGACAGGCATATAGAGTGAACATTTACACCAGGTAGATACACTCCGTAGGACAATCAATCATGGGAGAACAGAAGGGCAGTGTTTGCACAGGGAGACAGCTCAGGGGCAGAAATGCAGGGGAAAGAAGGACACAGAGAAGAGGAAGTGGGAAGGAAGTTGTTAACATGGTGGGTTTTGCAGTCAATGTCATGAAACAAAATATGTATGTATTGCTATATGGAAAATGAATTTGCTCTGTAAATTTTCACCCAAATCGCAATTTAAAAAAATTCAAAACCAACTTACAGCCCAGAAACCCCATAGAGCAGTTTACTTTGTAGTACATGGGGTTGCCATGAGTTGGCCAACTGGAGGACGGCTAACAACCACCATCACCACCCTGAGATGCATAGTGCTATTTTTAGTTTTATTATATTTTCCTGAGGTCCCTTTACTCCAATTGGAGCCAGCATTCGAATTCCCTGATGAACAGTTAAAGCACAGAATGTTACAGAGTTTCAAAGTCAGTAAGTTTTAGTTGTTATCCAAGAACTATCATTTTTAACAAATTCCCAGAGGCTACTGGTTTGAGAACCACTGAATTAAAGCAACCTACAATGTTAGTACACAAACACGCAAACCATGTTATTATCTTCATCTTTCAATGTTAATCTAGATCCCTAAGTGTCTGACAGTGGAAGATCACCAATGCCTACGAAGGCAGGAAGGCCAAGTAACGTATTATAGATTACTAAGGGTGGGGCGTTGGTCCAGGTAGTCACAGAAGTCTGGGAAAGGTCTCATAAAGAGAGAAGAAAAGCCTTGTATTTGGAACCATGGAACATTAGTTCCCAGCCCTCTATGCGGTGCAGCTTGGCTTCTTCCCCTATTTCCCCGGCATATCTCCGCGCCCCCTGCCCCACTTTTGCCTCGTCTTCTCCAGCCCCTTACCCGGTACAGCAGCCGCCTCTCCACCACCTCCCGCATCCGCCCCATTTGGCCCAAGTCCGCTATCCCTTTACCCCTACTCCGGCAGTTTGACTAGCTACGGGGCAGAAACTACACTACCCAGAAGGCTGTGCCCGTGCGCCGGCGGAAGGCGCTGAGCCAATGACAGCCCAGGAGAGAGGCGTTCCTTACAACCCGCGTAGGCGGGGCCGGAACTTAGGCGTCTTAGTCCTAGAATTCGTTTGTCTGTGGCTAGGTTGTTCGCACGCGTCAGTGGGACCTGGTAACTGGGTTAGGACGGTTTCTCGGGCGGCTGTTCGAGATTGAGCATGGAAGGAGAATGAAGACAGGTTATCTCCATGCCTTTGTACGAATCGTGACCCTTCCCGTTTCCCTGTGTGTAACAAGGGTGCCCGTCAGGGCCCAGTAGGGCAGTGCGCTCACCGCGACGGCGGCGCCCTAGTCCTTTACGCATTTTACACTGGGGAGAGTGAGGCTAGGAGTACAGCCTTCTGCATGAGTTAGCACCCCGCTCACGACAAGGCAAGGTAGGTGGTTGAGCCCACTCGTCTCACGACCCCGCACCATCAACAGACTCCAATGGCGGTGATGGCACTGATGGACCTGGCACAGGTGAGTGGAGGGACTTCAGGCCTTCACCCGCTCTGGACCCCATTCTTGTGGTCTTGGTACTACGATATAATAAAAGATGGAGTTGTCCTCGGATTTTTCATCTATTCCATCTCCCTGTTTTTGAGTCTAGGAGCCCTAAAGGGGAGTCACTCCAGCCTAGTGTCCTGAATCCAGGCTAGGGATTATATAGAACGGTTCCCATATTTGAAATCCAATGGGATGAGGTGAGAAAGAGGTCAGAAAGAGGAACCAATATGTATAAATGTTGAATATGAGAGGGAACACCAGGTTGCCTGTATGTTTGGTGTAAATAGAGACCAGGTGGGCAAAAGCCAGCCCTAGAATGGCAAGTTAAGGAATTGGCTCTCTATTCTTAGGGTGTTGGGAACCATGAAGGGTTTAGAGTAGAGGAGGAAAGTGATCTAGCTCAGGTGTTAACAGGTTCCCAATGGATGCAGAATGGAAAAACTTTTTCCAGGGTAGGATCATGGTTGTATTTGTCAAGTACTCTCTGGATGGTGAGGGTGGATGCCTGGAGACCAAGGAGTAGCTACTGCAGTAGTCCAGGTGAATGTGTAGTTATGGTGGTTGGATGAGAGTGGTGAGTGCAAGTAGAAGTGGTTAGATTCTGGATTTGTCTTTTAAGTCTGACTGCTAGTTTTCCTGTTGCGGAGGTTGAGAAAGAGTTTGCAACTTGAGCTGGAAAGATGGAAGTACCATCAACTGAGATGGGGAAGTTGGTTGTAGAGGAAGTTTTCACTGGAAATATCACAAGTTCAATTTTGGCCATGTTGAGTCTGATGTGCCAGAGACCACTAAGTAAAGTTGAACAGTGGGCATTTAGCACACAGTTATGGAGTTCTGGGGAGATGTTAGAAACATCCAAACTGTGGCATGTGTTGTGTGGACAATGATGTAGCTGTGGGGCAGCTAACTCACCTAAGTCAGAAGATGAATCTTCAGGTCATGGTGGCAATGCTATTAGGGAGAAAGAGGAAAGTGGAGCCTGAAAATTGAGAACTTGGTATCTTGCTTGGGCACCATGGTTGGCTTGTTAAGCATCTTAAGAACAGATGAGGAAGAATGGTGGTGGAGGGGGGCATTGGATGTGGGGAGAGAAGGGTCTGGTTGGTGACCAGATTTTCTGAGGCATAGGTATGAGATGGATGATGAGGCTTGCTTAGCCAGGAGTGTAATATTATAATGTGGCCTTGACTGGTACTTATTCAGCCATCTATGTTCTCACCACGCTTTTGTGGTGAATCTTAATAGGGCCTGAGGGTTTCCAGTCAGGGTAGAGAATTAGCTTAGGGACAAATGGGTCCAGCTGAGAGAGTAGCTAGACTCTGGATAGGTGGGGATAGGAGGGCTGTTGAATGAATGTGACTAATGAAAGAACAGAGTTGTAATACAGAAGAGGAATAGGGCAGGGGGTATTAGAGATCTTTCTGTGGTTCTGGGTGGTTTAGGTTGAAGCTAGAGCAGAGCTACGTTACCCAGGAGGTGGGAATGCCTTCAAAGCAGGACTGGGTGGTGGTTATGGCAATGGATGCCATCAAAGATCTGGGGCAGGGTAGGACCATGGTCGTATTTGTCAAGTACTCTCTGGATGCTATGTGTGAGTGACATCTGGAAAGTCCAGGAGATGGCTATGATATGGACTGGGGGAGGAGAGACCAGTGGCAATGGTTTCCCAAGATCAGTGGCAATGGAGATGCAGTGGTGGGGTTCAGAGTAGTAATGAAGGTGCAGTCTGAGTCGTGATATGCATGTGGGGAGGGAGAGTGAACTGTTAGCCCAAGGGCCCTGGTACTGAGGACTAAAGAAAGAAGCCCTACATATGTATCCGTGAGGCATGACATTGGCAACATTAGGTAAAGGGCTCAGATGAGGGGAGCAGGCCTTGCACTCCAGACCTAGAGCTTAGATGGTGCCTGTCTACCCACCTGCTTGTTGCAGTGGGCTGATAAAGAGATCAGTGAGACATGAGAAAAGAACATAGTAACTCCTCTTGAGGTGGAGAGCTGGGGAGAAGGGTAAGAAGGGAATAGGTATAGGGAAATGGATAGGGTTTCCTGAGGAGAGAAACTGATCATGGAATTAACTGTTCCCATTGTGCAGGGCTGTGTGACCTTTGAGGATGTGGCCATTTCCTTCTCCCAGGATGAGTGGAGTCTTCTTGATGAGGCTCAGAGACTCTTATATTGCAATGTGATGCTAGAGAACTTTGCACTTACAGCCTCACTGGGTAAGACCTTTATATCTGCCTGTCCTGAACTGATCTCTGCCTTTCCCTTTTCCCAAGAGACAGCTCTGTCCTTCCCACAGCTGGACCATAGTCACTACTTCCTTCCCCATTTTCCTTGTACAGTGAAACCTGTAAGTGCTGAAATTCAGTGGGACTGCCTTATTTTTCTGGGTCTTGCAAATTTTCTGCCTTTGGCAAGGTGCAGTCTTACCACTTTTCTGTCATTTGTTTTAGTGGAAAATACTTGAATTTTCCTTGTCTGACAGGTTTCCGCCCTACAAGAGTTCCAGCTTTTGTAGGTTTTATTGTGTATATATGCTTTGGGTTCAAGGGCTGAGCAGTGTACAGTGCCTCATTCTCTCTTTGAGCAGCTCCAACACTTGCTTCCTTGAAGCCTTGCAGAAGGGTCCTGGAATGAGGAATCTTGCAGTATGCCCAGTGGAGCCCACCTGACTCCCTGTTTAGGTGATTGTCTAGATCTATGATTCAGGTTCTGCCCCTTTTCAGTGGCATTTCCTAGGGCCTGACTGTGCCAGGAGTGCAGGCAGTAACATGGTCACTACTTGCTGGGATCATTGGGCTGTTCCTGTAAGACCTTCCTTGTAGGTTCTTTTTGTAATGTTTAGTTTTCTTTCCTGTGGTCTATTGTGGGGTACTTCACATGGGCAAATGTTAGCTACTCACTTGTCTTTCCTTCAGGACTTACATCTTTCAGGTCTCATGTCGCTGCCCAACTGGAGATAAGGAAAGAGCCCTGGGTGCCTGATACTGTGGACGTGACTCCAGCTTTGGCAAGAGGGACTTATAAGGGGCCTGGCTCTGGTAAGTGGGAAATGGAAGAAGATATGACATCACCACTGGGTTCAAATCATACCAGCAACTTTTCTTATTTTGCCATTGTTTTGATACCAAAGCTAGTGACCATACCTCATTTCTCCTTTTCCTTCTTCATTCCTGATACTTTACTTGTCATTTCTGTCTTGTCTCTGGTCCCTGGTAATTCCCCATCTTTTTTGCTTCTGGGTGTCACTCTCTCCACAGTCTCTTTGAAGCTCTATCCAACCTTGCCTGTGCTTCAAATGTCATGTGGTGTGCACATTTCCTTCAATAGTCTTTCAGTTGGATTTTCCTGGACTTAGACACACCCTTTTGCATAGCCTTCATTGGTTCCCTTCAGCTGGGGCCCTGCTGAAAGGTCTTTACAGAAAAGTGAGTTGAAGACCTTTCCTCTCCACCCAATAATGTACCCAGTCATTGTGTCCTTGGCCCTGGTCAGGTCTCCTCTATTTTGTGACCTTGTCAGACACAGTACTCCAGAGCAGACCATTCTTTACTCTGATGTCAGGCTTTTTATCTTGCCACCAATTCCATGGACTCATTCTTGGGTCAGACACATATTTGTGATGGGGCTCTTTCTTTCCAAGGAGCCCTTGTGATGCAATGGTTAAGTACTCTGCTGCTACCTAAAAGGTTGGTGGTTCGAAAGTACCAGGAGAAAGATGTGGCACTCTGCTTCCATAAAGAGTACAGCCTTGGAAACCCTATGGAGCGGTTCTACTATGTCCTATAAGGGCACTATGAGTCAGAATTGACTCAGTGGCAGTGGGTCTGTCTTTCCACAAAAATTAACATGAATTTCACCATTATTTCTATTTTCAGGTTTTTGGCATGGAATGAAGGGCCAGGACTCGACTTCTGAGCATAATATTTTTGTAGAAGTTGTAACACAGGATGGGAATCCCAAGGCAGGTCTGTCCATCCAGAAGGAGTACCCTTGTGACATAGGTAGCCTGCTCTTAAAAGACATTTTATACCTGGTTGAACACCAGGCAGCACATCCCAGTCAGAAACCATACATGTATGGGGCATTTGGGAGAGGATTTGGGTTCAGTGCAAACCTTCACAAGCAACAGATACAACAGAATGTGGAGAAGCCCAACAGAAGAGATGAGGTCAAGGCCTCATTTGTGAAGAGCTGCAGAGCCTACTTGTCAGAGGAGACTTTCACAAGTAGGGAGGGTGGGAAAGACTTCATTGCCACATCAGGCTTTCTCCAGCCTCAGGTCATTCACAGTCTTGGGGAGCCACATAGGAGCACTGGAGGTGGAATGGGTGTTCACACTGTGCAAAAGAATTATAAGTGCAATGAATGTGGAAAAACATTCAGTGACAGATCCACACTTGTTGAGCACCAGAGAATCCATACTGGAGAAAGGCCTTACGAGTGTGGGGTATGTGGGAAATGCTTTAGACAGACCTCTACCCTCAATATACATCAAAGAGTTCATACTGGAGAAAGATCTTATGAGTGCAGCGAATGTGGAAAAGCCTTCAGCCACAAAACCAGATTTATTCAGCATCAGAAAATCCACACTGGCAAAAGACCCTATGAGTGCAGCGAATGTGGGAAATTATTCAGCCAGTGCTCCAGCCTGTTTCAACACCAGAGAGTTCACACTGGAGAAAAGCCTTATGAGTGCCGTGAATGTGGGAAATTCTTCAGACACATCTCCAGTCTCATCAAACATCGGAGAGTTCACACGGGAGAACTACCTTATGAGTGTGGTGAATGTGGGAAATTCTTTAGCCAAAGCTCTAACCTCATTCAACATCAGAGGGTTCACACTGGAGAAAGGCCTTATGAGTGCAGTGAATGTGGGAAATTATTTAGCCAAAGCTCTAACCTAATTAAACATCGGAGGGTTCACACTGGTGAAAGCCCTCATGAGTGCAGTGAATGTGGGAAAGCCTTTAGCTACAACTCCAACTTAATTAAACATCAGAGGGTTCACACTGGAGAAAGGCCTTATAAGTGCAATGAATGTGGGAAATTCTTTAGCCATATCTCCAGTCTCATTAAACATCGAAGAGTCCACACAGGTGAACAGCCCTATGAGTGCAGTGAATGTGGGAGATTCTTTAGCCAAAGCTCCAGCCTCAGCAACCATCGGAGACTTCACACTGGTGAACGACCTTATGAGTGCAGTGAATGTGGGAAAGCCTTCAGCCAAAGCTCTGACCTCATAAAACATCAAAGAGTTCACAGTGGTGAGCGACCTTATGAGTGCAGTGAATGTGGGAAAGCCTTCAGTCAAAGGTCTAATCTTATTCAGCACCAGAAACTTCACAAACTACATAGGCCTTATTAGTGCAGCAGTGTGGGAAAGCCTTCAGCCTAACTTCATTTAGCACTAGAAAGTTCACATTGGAGAAGGGCCTTAGAAGTGCAGTGAATGTGCTCCTCTGTGCAACATAATGACTGACATCAGCGATAAGCTTAAAGACTAGTCTTTATGAGGAAACCATCAGCCAGAAGTTGAACTTTCTTCATCCAGATAACCACATGGGAGAGATTCCTTACAATTGCTAGGGATGGTGGAAGCTTTCTGGAGCTAAATTGCATATTCTGACCATGGACTCTGACCACTGACCAGAATGTTGTCACTGTCAGTGTTTGTGGCAGAAGCCATCTCAGTTTTTCACACTCACAGTCTTTGAGAATACATCAGCCACTCCACTGTCCTCAAAGAAGGCAGATCTCTGTTCTCTCCTTACAGTCACTGAGAGAATTGTGAGTAGACTGAGGCCATTGGAGGGTATTATTCCCTCTCACTGTGACTAGTTTAGCTGTGGACATGACCTGTGTTTGGCCACATGTATATGAGCTGGGTTCAGCTGTTGGCTACCATTTTTGATTAATGAAATGGAAATTGCCTTCATTGCTTTAGGTTTTTTTGTTTGTTT